ACGGAAACGGTAGAGCCGCAGCCATGTACCACGTTTTTGGGCGCGATCCCTGGGGTCAATCGGCGAGCGCGGCGCTATGGCGCATGCTGGGGTGGATGCCGTCCTGATTGCTGGCTAGGATACCAAGTGACGCTCGGTATATAACACTTGAGCGCCCTAGCCTTTTGGTTCAGTCAAACTCAAAGTCCAACAGAGTAGCAACTACCAGCCTTACATCAAGACCCTCGACCCCCAATACAATCAAAAGAACCCATCGGAACATTCTACCTACCACCAGCCAACATGTATCAAAACCTTGGACGCACACCCAACTGGGACACTTGCTTCAACCAACTCCAACTCACTGAGGAGAACCTACAATTACACACCGCTACACACAAGAAGGTATGTCTTGACTCGAGAACAGTTCATCGGTTCACTGCTAACAATGTCAAAGGTCGACAGCGCTTGTCAAATGGATGACCAACTCTACTACCGATACGATGGTGACTTCGCCGAGTCAGACGACGGCAACGTGGAAACCCAAAGAGAGACCATCGCCTTGAGGAGAGCCGCGTCACTGGAGGTGTTGAAGGCGTACGGTGGATGCTTCGCTTCCGGCTTCCTCGCTCTTCAAGAACCCCTCCCATCACGACCAAAATCGAAGCTCAGGTCATACGAGAGCGCGTACAGCGTCGACATGTCAAGAACCGCCTCAAACGCCACATCACTCGAGACAGCCTCAACTAGCTGGAGCAGCAATATCGACACGCCACGACCAGACTCATCAACTCTGGGCGTACCTGTGCAAGAAATGGAGAAGGGATCAAAGTGGAGCTGGAGAGGCATGAGGAGAAGCCGAAAGCAGGCAGCAAAGAAGCTCGAAGTTTAAAAAAGTCATTTATCACCGCCGACCAGCTGGTCTTTACATCTATTCTGTTTGCTTGCGTGTTAGCGAAGGCGTTGGGGTTTACGGATACCATTCAAGACTGCGCAACCATCTCTTTTGTCACGATGCCAATGGCCGAATTACTCAAAATTCTACGAAAAAGCACGACTTTGTAGTGTATAATGTATATATCAACAAAACACAGACTCGACGAGTCGTTTGGCAACCCCCACATTCTCCTACCTTGCAAATTGTGTGCTTCTGCAGTGCTTCTGGTAGGCATCCGAAGACCGGCCGGCGTGCAGACGGCCGAGCTTGGAGAGCCGGAAGTGAACATCAGACGGAAAAAGTCGCATGTTCGCTGAGATTCGGAGACGGCCATCAGCAGATGCAGCGCGGGTCGACGGACATCTAGATCTGCTGACCTGATGGGGTAATATTAGGCGACAGCCTCAGCTGGTTCTCGAGCTATGAGTAAGAGGGAGGGTAAGTTTGTTCGGAGGTCACGATGGAGTTGCGGGTGTAGTGCGGACTGCTGGCTCCCGTGGGGGAAGGCCTGCAGGCTGACGGACACGCAGCGCCTGACCCCGGCAACCGAGCCAGTCACAGCAGGCGCGTCGCTCGAGGAAGGTGCGTCCGGAGTTAGGCAGGAGAAAAACAAAGGCGCCGCACACAAGGCATTGAAGCTCAACAGATGAGATTCGAAACACGCGGATTGTCGAGCGAGGACATCGTGCCATGACGTACTGGTGGGGCTCTATGATGAGGCGGCCAAGGTCGGCGCGCGCGTGCAAGTCGCGACGGTGATGAGGAGGAAGAAGTACCCCAGGGGTTCAAAGCAGCACGGGGCCCTCTGGCAGTCTTCGCTCAGCATCATCATGCCGCCTGGCTGTCGCATTGATAGCAGTCACGCCGCCTGCGTCTGGCACGATGCAGCTGCTTCACCGCCTGGCCTGTCATTGCCTATCGTGATAGCAGACCCACCACTGACGCCTGCTGCTATGCCCTTCTGCTGCCATCGGCGGACCTGCCGGCCTTGCAGCGCTCAAAACTGCTACCTTCGCCCGTTGCATATCCATCTTTTCCCTCCAGTCCTACGCTGCACCCGCCACCTAGACTAGCACTACCAGCATATCGTCGTGTGACCGCCGCCCGCCGTTCCCTAGATTCTGAAGCATCTTGATACAAAGGTGCCGCCCCACCCCCACCCTCGCCGTCAACCGCCCTCAAAGCTAACGCTGACCAGTACCTACGCCATACATAGCACATCTTCACCACCACAACACCTACTACCACCACACTCCTTGACTGGTGTCGTCGCCCCACCGCCCCCGTAGCATGAGCTCGCAATCTTCCAAGCCCCGCCGAACCTCGACTGTTCTCGACCCATACGCTGCACCGCACGTCTACTATGGCGAGAGTCACTCGAAGAAGCATGCCAGAGCCCGGACCTACTCAGCTGTGAGTACCGCGCTCCTTCCTTCTTCTAATGCCATGACGATGCTAATTGAGTGCAGAACGTAGACAATTCCACGCGTAATGCTCCATTGGCCGAGGGCGCCATTGCTGGTCGTCGCATCAGTCACGGTACGTACCTTCCACCGCACCCACGCCGCGCCATTGGCTAACAAGACCAGATGAAATCTCCCTGCAGCCTCGCCGCTTCAAGATAAACGTCGAGGAGACGCTCCGCCAGCTTCTCGACCGCGAAGATTCCGACGGCAACTACCAGATCACAATCGACGACAAGGGTCCCAAGGTACGATGCTCTGCAGTAACACGGAGAGCATGGCTGACAATACACAGACCATTTCTCTTGGTACGCTCGGCTCCAATGCCTTCAAGAAGCACGACGTCCGCGGCACCTACATGCTCTCGAACCTGCTCCAGGAGCTCACCCTCGCCAAAGACTACGGCCGCAAGACCATTGTGCTCGACGAATCGCGATTGAACGAGAATCCCGTAAACCGCCTGAGCCGCCTCATCCAGTTCTCCTTCTGGGACGGCCTCACCCGCCGCATCGATGGCTCCAACATTGCAAAGGTCGGTGTCGACCCCAAGGACTGGACAGACGACCCACGTCCGCGTATATACATTCCTCAGGGCGCGCCTGAGCAGTACGAGTACTACACCCGCATTGCTCGTGAACACCCCGAAATGCGTCTCGACGTCATCTGGCTCGACAAGGACTGCGACAATGACGATTACGTGCGCGACTTGAACAAGGCACCCGGCCTGCTCGCCATTGCCATGGAGGAATGGATAGATCCAGAGACCAAGAAGAAGGACCTGAGAGGCCTGCCTTTCGTCGTCCCTGGTGGCCGTTTCAACGAGCTTTACGGATGGGACAGCTACATGGAGTCGCTTGGTCTCCTCGTCAACGATCGCGTCGACCTGGTCAAGTCCATGGTCATTCACTTCTGCTTCTGCATCAAGCACTACAACAAAATTCTCAACGCGAACCGTACATACTACCTCTGCCGCTCCCAGCCACCATTCCTCACCGACATGACTCTGCGATGCTACGAACGCATCAAGCACGAGCCTGACTCCAAAGAATTCCTGCGCAACGGTATCCTTGCTGCCATCAAGGAATACCACTCGGTTTGGATGAGCGCGCCGCGCTTAGACCCTGTCACTGGACTCACCAGGTACCGACCTGGCGGAAGGGGTGTGCCACCCGAGACGGAGGCCAGCCATTTCCACCACGTCTTGATGCCGTATGCCGACAAGCATGGTATGACATTTAAGGAATTCGTCGATGCATACAACAACGGAAAGGTCAACGAGCCTGAGCTTGATGATTATTTCCTACATGACCGCGCTGTGCGTGAATCCGGCCACGACACCTCCTACCGTCTGGAGAGGGTCGCAGCAGACCTCGCCGTCGTTGACGTCAATGCGCTGCTCTACAAGTACGAAGTCGACATTGGTCGATGCATTCGCAACCATTTCAACGACAAGCTCGAGATTCCAGACGGATTCCGCACTGGCGACATGAAGCCTGGTCATATTGAGACTTCTTCCACATGGGAGCGCCGCGCTAGAAAACGCCGCGTTAATGTGGACAAGTATCTCTGGGACGAGGAGGCAGGCATGTACTTCGATTATAACACTGTCAAGCAACAACGCACCGGTTACGAGAGTGCCACTACTTTCTGGCCCATGTGGTCCGGTCTCGCCACTCCCCGTCAAGCTAGCATTCTTGTCGAGAAGGCTTTGCCTAAGCTGGAAGCCTTCGGAGGACTTGTTTCGGGTACAGAGAAGTCGCGCGGCAAAACTGGACTTGACCGCCCTAACCGTCAGTGGGATTATCCATTCGGTTGGGCGCCCCAGCAGATGCTTGCCTGGGTCGGTATGCAGCGGTACGGCTACGATGCGGAAGCCCAGCGTCTGGCCTACCGCTGGCTCTTCATGGTCACCAAGGCATTTGTTGACTTCAACGGCGTTGTCGTTGAGAAGTACGATGTCACAAGGAAAATTGATCCTCACAAGGTTGAGGCCGAATACGGTAACCAAGGCAGCGACTTCAAGGGTGTTCCTCGCGAAGGGTATGTTTCTTCTCACATCAGTTTACTAGTTCATGGCTAACATGTCACAGCTTCGGATGGGTCAACGCAAGTTACATCTACGGTCTCACGCTCCTCAGCGCACACCAGCGTCGTGCTCTCGGTGCTTTGACCGATTGGGACAGCTACGCCAAAGCCATGGAGGACCTTGGCATGATGTAAACCGACTCCCGCTTACTTTGTTACGACTTCACGAGATGCATCTGCATGAGATGTTGGGTCTGCTTCGTTGTTCGTATTAGAGGCGCAGTGGAAAATGAACCTGGGTTGCGTTCATGAGGTTTGCCAGCAAGTCTGTATAGGAATGGGGTGGACACATTAGCACAGCACGTGTATTGTTTGCAGGACGTGAAACTGATGGGAATTTCGGTACGGTACCAGGAGTCGATCTCGGCACGATGCCTTAAGCTATACCTATGATCAAATGAAACACATCATTAATTGTCCATTGTCTCGCTTGGCTTCACCGGTAAGGGTTCATTTCATTTCACGTCTGCGTGAGGATTACAGTACTTAACAGGAAATGATTCGAGGTCCCCGAGCATTTCGTTCAGCCTTTCCATCTAGAGATTGTGTGGGTCTCCTTCGTATGCCTTGTGCGACTCATTTGATGCCTTGCTCTGCGCTTTGCTCTCCTTCTGCTCCTCAAGCTTGGCGTCATACTTCTTCTGAAGCTCCTGTAGCAAAGTCTCAAGCTCGGTAATCCTCGTCTTATACTCTTCATTTCTATCATCAAGCGGCATGTAATGATCAGAGTACGCGTTCCAGAGGATGTCGTACTTTATCTTGAGTTGGTCGAACGTCCAGGAGGGGTCTCGTTTGATAGGCGGAGTGGTGGACATTTTCTGCTGCTGAGAAATCGGTAGATGGTAGTTGATGAGAACGGGATATGAGAGCAGACTGTACTCTTTATGTGCTTTCGCTAATATTTGTGCTATCATGACAAGCAGTGCGTCGTGGATTACACGCGTGAAATAGCAAACCGTGAACAATCGATTCGGTTGTGATGAGATTATCAGATTAGACTACCCTACACGTCACCCGTCACAGTGTAGGATTGCCGATCCTCTAATTCCTCAGTATGCTCCAGAGCACCCTTCTGATCTTACTGAGGCGGTCCATCACACAACGGCGGCGAAGCACTAGGTTCCTTAGGCGGAACCTCCCTCTTCCCCTGCATCCTCTCCGCCTTGACAAAAACCGGGATAACACCGCCCGTCTCAAGCGCAAACGTCCTGTGCCCAAGCACCTCCAGCATACTGCCAATCGCTCCCGAATGACTGGTAAAACTCAACCACACATTGTCGTCGGTAGCGAAAACATCGTCCAGGAACGTGGCTAAGCGATACCGTCTTGCAGACCTCGGCTCCCGGTATCCAGCCTCCCAGAGAAGATCTTCGTTTGAGAATCCGGGCTCAAAAGTGAGAGGTGGATCCGTGAAGGTGGCTTTGATGTGTGAGGCTGTGCTGCGGCGGTCACATGTGTGTACGCCGAGGGCTTCGCGGACGAGTTCTTTGATGAAAGGTTTGTAGGGGTGAGATGACGGAAGTGGAAGGGACTTGAAGCTCAGATTTGCTGTTTCGATTGTACGGGTCAAGGGCGAGACGTAGTATGTTTGTGGGGGTGGGATGCCGAGGGGTAGTTGTTCGGCCCATAGCTTGTTCACGGCGAGAGCTTGGTCTTGGCCTACAGTGGTGAGGTTTGCGTCGGCCCAGGTTATGCCGTCAAAGCCGTCGAGGGCGGCATAGTAGCACTTGTTGTTTGTGTTAGCAGCCGGTGTCTTTCATAGCACTTGTCTGAAGAAAAATAACTCTCCAAAAGAGACAGTGTCAGAAGGCAAGTTAAACTTACGTCCCACGCCTTTGTCCCATACTTTGTCTCTGCAACGTTGTGCCAACCTTGACCATGGCGACCCAGAAAGAGTACTTTGTAGCTCTCGCCATCTTTCTTAGTGGCTTCCAGACTAGCCACATATTTCTCAAGACGCTTCCATTGCTTTTCTTCGCTGCCATCTTCTCCCGGGTAGGAACGATCGATCAGACCAAACTTTTGTGTCTTCTGCCACGGACGTTAGCAAGCTACCCTGGATGCCAAATCCAAATGATGTGAATGAAGCGACAGGATATAGCGGTATTGCAAAATGCATAGTAGTGTGCAGAATATCGAAAATAAGAGTGGAACATACGAAATCGAATCTCTTATCATCAGTCTCATCTTCGCTCTGCATGAAAACGCCCTTTTGCACCGTGTACTTGAAGTGGTGGTCCAACGCCGGCTCTGCCGGGACAGGAACCGTCGAATTTTGATCTGTGGTACTCATGCTCAAGTAAAACAAGAAGATGAGGAGGATAGAGAGAAAGACGATTGGTCTGGGTGAGGTTAGCGCAGGCACTCTCGTGGGAACGTGCGCAGGTAAAGCTGGAAGGCGCAGGTTGTTTACATGGGGATGTCGACACCACAAATCCTTATTTTGTGCGAGTATGAGGGTATGAGCATTATACGGGAGGATTGCAGGCTATCATGTTGTTGCTGTGCTGTGAAGGTAGGCGGCGGGCTGTCGATTGTAACGGTGAGTCGCTAGCTAGCACGAGCCAATCATGTCCTTGGCCGCATCACGATACATATGTCGGTGCACTCGAATCTGTCTAGCATCGGGCTCTAAGGGGTGGAGATTCGCTCGCCGCATATGAGGATACAACTGAGAGATTTAGTGCGATGCTGCGCATCATGTAGCTTCGATGACGTTAATTGCATGTTCAGAGGCAACGTATTGCTTGCGCGTAGATCGTAGTTTTATCTAGTTTCTACAGCTGCTCAAGGAGACTGAGCTACAAAGCCCGCGCAGTACAGGCTAGGCCGTAGCTATCGTACGCTGTCCACCATTGTGGTATTCTACCGTGATGTCCATCAAACGCCCATCCCAAGCCCGCTAATTCAGAAGAGACTTATCGCAGCCGAAGCCGACTTTTAGAAGCGGAATGCATCGCAAAATCGCAACCTGAGCGTGTCCTTGCGCCCGGTCTGCGACCTTAGCAATGACCCGCTCATTTCTTCTTCGGGAACTTGGGCTGCCCCATCTTGTCACCCCGTAGGATGACGTTAAGCACGCGTTCCATGTTTCCTAGCAGCTTCTGGTCTGGTGTTGCTGTGCCGCGCTCAAAGTCTGCGATGATGGTGGGTGTGCTGTTGCACTTTGTAGCCAGATCCTTTTGCGTCATAGTTGTGCCCTTGTCGTTCTTTGCCTCGGAGCGCGCCTTAGCGATGGCTTGGCCGACGGCGATACCAACGGTCTTGGGCTTGACGATGTCATCGGAACGGTCGACTTTGGTGAGGCGTTGGCCTTCTGACGAAGCTCCCTGTGGCTGGTCGGTCAGTATTGTTTTGAGCGAACTTTTGGGGATCACGAAGAACGAAGTTGTTAAGCTAAGTTGGACGTGTAAGGAGTACTCACGGCGTTGGCAGAAGCGAACTTCTTCTCTGTGGCGACGATACCGCCGCTACGTTGGGCAGCGTTTAGAGCTGACTTGCCCTTGACTACGGTTTCGCGGGGTCCAGCGGCGCCGCCACGAGTGCGGCTACCGATCTTGGTAACGGAGTTCCAGTCGTCAGACATCTTGAATGTGGTGTTGAAGAGTAGAGGGTGGGGTTGTGGTTGTCGGGTGCGGAAGGCTGAGTTGGGCGCAGATGTGGGGTGTCCTCTTGAAATGGATACTTGCGCGTCGATGGATTTGTCAGTCGGCGAACGTGGAGATGAGGAAATGTAATGTGGATGTGAAGGGCTTTGTAGTAGAGAGGATCGAGCTTTTGCTTATGTAGAGGCCCAAAGAGCAATGTGTGAGCGCGATGAGTCGGAGCGGCAGGTGAGGTCACCGCCACGCGCTAAACTCGCTTAGGACAGGGTCTCTCGAAGCTTCCACGATCGCTTCAGCCCTTCAATGTTCTTCCGCCCTTCTTTCACCGAACAATCACTACATGCAACGTTCGTTTGCCATGGCTAACACGAGCGCACTCATTGTGTGTCACAGCGCATCGTTGCTAGCTACCAGTCCTTCAAGTCAGCCGCTGTGTTTGGATCATAGGTCGTTGACAAATATTTTTCTTTCGCGTCTCACATTGCGCTCGACGGAATGAGCAGCATCGACGCGTTTTTATCCTTTGGTACTCTGTGTACCTACAACCTCTTCAGTATACGTCGTCCTTCCTTCTCGATGATGGACTCGTTTGTCAAAAGCAGGAAGATCAGCTACCAACCCGTTCCAAGCCCTTTGCTTGTACTTTTGACCGAATGCTTGGGTGTCTGCTCCTTATGGGCAGGCGCTGGTGCTTGGGGCGGGACATATATAAAACATATCAGATTTTTATCAGAACATTGCTTGAAGTTTTCATTGATGAGGTACATGTGCTCGGACGCTTAGATAAAGTGTCTATATGTGCCCTGATCGCTCATGAACTTTTGACAAAGGCTCGTCTAATCTTGACAAGCACCCAACCCGACCGCCGGAACGCCATTGCATGCATGCAGCCATATTGAACCATATCAACCATTCTTCGTGAGGTCATACTATTACAAGTTCGACTGCGACTGCGCGACCTCCCGCTCAACCTCGTACATGAAGTCAAAGTATGGCTTGTCGAAGTGGTGCACACGCACGTAACCGTCCTCTCCTCCACTGCAGTAGCTAGTTCCTTGTGGGTGTACGGCGACGTAGTTGAGGGGACCGAAGTGACCACGCACACGACCAATCTCCTCCATGAAAATCTTGTGGTAGAAACGGGCCTCGAACTTTCCTTGACGTGCCGAGGTTGTGGTGACATCCATGGCTGCTTGTCCTCCGCCAAGAATAACGTAGTCCTTTACGGGTGTGATCGCGGCGGAGTTGAGGGGTGTGTCGGCAACGTATGATTTAAGGACGTTCAGCTCTTCGACGTCGACGAGCTTCGCGGTCTTATCCTTGCTGGCGGTTATGAAGTAGGTTCGGTCGGGAGCCCATTGGATGTCGGCTGCACACTGTTAGCTTCCATTCCAGCCAAAGAGGTGTGCACGAAACTCACTGATTTGCATGTCTGGCTCATGAACGTCGTAGTTAGAGCTGAGCAACTCTCCGGTCTTGCCATCCCACTGAGTTATTGAGCCGTCCTCGTGTCCACTGATGATGTATTTTGCGAGGTATGAGAAGCCAGCGACTGTCGCCTTGGACTCGTCGCATACGATCCTGAGCAGCTGCTCGTCCGACTGTTGCGCTTCCGGATCGGGGTTGATAGGGTAGACGCAGATGGTGGAGAGATGTCCTGATCGCTTCTCGGTGACACCAAGTAGCTGTCTGCCGTCTGGGGAGAACTCGCAGCGCTTGATACTGGTGTTGAATTCCCAGGTGTGGAGAAGCTTGCCCGTCTGCACATGCCATAACCTCATGGTGTTGTCTGCTCCACCGGTAGCCAGTAGCTCAGAGGATGGGTTTACGTCGACCGTCCATAGCGCTCCCTGATGTCCGTGGTATGTTCCGATTCGCTCGCCGTTGTGTGAGTCTGCATCGCATCAGCTTCTCTTCGCATTCCTCTTGTACAGGTTGTTTACTAACACCAGGCGCAAACGACGTGATCCTACAAAAATCAGCTTCCGCGCATCAGAAGATCGGGAGAAAGACCTACCTTGGATACGGAGAAAATGATATCTCCATCTGCGTTGTACTGCATGCCATTAGTTTCCTCGTCCCTCATCCTACGCACGGCGCATGCGAACCTTGACTTGCGTGAGCGCACGCTCGTGACCGGAGAGAAGAATGGGCCTCATGTTTGTGATGGGTGTGTGGAGGCGGGGTGGTGTGTCGGCTTATATGTGGCGGGCGGCGTCTCGAAATTTGGGTGACTCTTGTGCATATCGACGTTCAGCGGGCGAAGTGGGCTGCTTGGCGCTAGCCGACTAGCGGCTTTGTCCCGCAACCATAGATGAACCGCTGTGCTGAACATCATCTCTCCGCATTGACTCAGCTGTTCATTACGAAAGCTAGTGACTATACCTTCTGGGTTGGGACTATTGGTAGGGTCCATGTCCGGCTCAACGATGCTTCACGGGGTGACTCACAGCAGACCATCTCCGCCTCCATGTATTCCGATATCAGCAAGGGGTTAGCTGTGTTATGTACCAAGACACAGCCTGGTGACTCATAGCGTGAACGGTTCGTCAATTGGTAAGATGCTTTCGTTTCTTAGTAGTTGAGCTGATAAACCTGATTTTGGTGACTCTCGTCAACTCTTCACGACTCTCGATTTCAGAGTCATTACATCCGTTCCTGTTCGGATTATTCATCTATCACAACACTCTAGCGTTTTAGTGACTTCTTTGTAACTCTATAACAAAGTATAGGATGGAGACTAGCGCGCCTTCCCCGCGCCCGCAGTATTCTGAAGCTCTCATCTCCTCAAAATCACCATCGATACTCTCTCGAGAAATACTTGCATCGGCACCGATTTCCTAGACTCATGATAGTCGAGAGCCTCAAAGATGCCAACATGCTGCAGACTGCGATCTCATCTAGTCTACTGGTCACTGTGCTACTGTGAGTCCAAACACATACCGCGCAGTGCTGTTTCTCCCCTTCGTCTATTATGTGGTCCGCATACTTTTCACTGTCACTTTCACTTTCACTTTCACCGACAATGCTAAAGTCGCGCTTTCCGTTTGTTGCGAGCGCAGTCTTGGCGCAAACGCGCTGCTCCTTCCACCTGGTGGTTGGCAAGCCCACAATACTCCAGCGCGACTTCCCAAATACGCCAAATTCGAATCGCGGGTCTCGCGACCTCCTCATACAGGAAGGGAAATTGAAAAGGTTTGCAGACTACATCAACATGAAAACAAGCGAAGCAGCTGCCTAACCTCGATGTAGGCTCCACATTGTTTAGTTCCCCACCTTCAATATGGCTTCTGCAGCGCTTCCTTCCTCTATCATTACAGCTACGCTAGGAAGACTCAGGCCTTTACCACCGGACAAGTACATCGTAACCTTGGGCCAAGGCAGCGATCAGTTCCTCGGTACTCCCAACGGTTACAGCGCTACGTATCTACCACCCAGGCTGTTCCAAGCTGTCGGCGCAGGTCGGGGTCTTGTCAAGAAGATCACATGGGCCTCGTATGGCAGCAGACCCGAGTCCTGGTTCTTCGTCTGGGAGCCTGAAGACGGCACAACGCACTTCATGGTCGGACCTGATGTCCCATCGGCGCTGAAATCT